ACGCGGTGGGACGAATGAAACTCGGAGACTCTGTGAAAGACAGGGCAATCGCTGACGTGGAAGTGACAGTATTGAAATTCAGGGAAATGAGGCCTCCGACCTGGTATGAGCATGCGTACTATTGTTAGGGGAATATGGCAAGGAGAAAATTATGCTATACCTCCACCCCATAGTCCAACGCAATCCAAGATCCCCTAGTGGAAATCGTCGCGCTCCCAGCGTTGAGCACCAGAAGCTGCTGGTCTTTCACAGATCCTTGGAAGGAGTGGATTGAAGTTGGATAAACGGTCTTCGACGTCGGCGCATAATTGAAGGTATCCCAAGGACCCGACGGTGCCCGACTCAATGCTGTGCTTGCGAAGACGAGTAAAAGTACGCCTGTGTACAAGGGTGCCATCTCTCGGGGATTAGGCGCCACATCGCTATCTTATACATGGGTCAAGGCGTCTTAAGAAACTATCATGGGACCGAAATGGGCGCCGACCAGCGGCCCGGTAGGTTCTAAATGAGATGCAGGAGAGGTCAGTATCCCAGAGTCTGTCAAAGAAAAGTCCAGAAGACTAGATGAAGTTGTAACTTCGGAGGAACTGCTGGTCAAGGCTCCAATACTCACATGGCAAGGCCAAGCTTCCCCAGCCATAGTTAGAAATGCGCATTTCACAAGCCTATCCTGCGAGTGATGGTGCGCAGGATGATTGTCAGGGTACTGAGGAAATGTTGGATGTTGGGATGCACATTTGCGCCTTTATCAGAGGTACAAAATTTTATTCTTGTGTATCCGGATCACGTTCAAGTTGGCATGGAGCGATGAAGACATTCGCGCAAAGATTGATTTCAATATATGGTGTAAAAATGGGTGTTTTCTATGGCTGGGAATGTGGCATTAAAGATTGAGTGAAACATGTATCAAAAATTCTGTGGTTAATTACCTGATACCTGATATAATAACTGAAATCATTGAGGCGATTTGAGAGGGAGGTGCATCAGTCACTGGCATGATTTGGATGTGTAGTGTACGGGGGTTAGGGTTTACCTTTCTTGCTCTTGACCGACAACATCAAGTGTATGGAGTCCTTGAACCTCGGCACTTTGGCTAATTCTCTACCAACCGCTCAGCAGAATGCAGAGAAGGAGTTGACTAACAACTTCAAAGGCAAGTCTCAATGGGATCCAAATTTTCTTTCACGAAAAGCTGACTATATTATTTTGGCTAGCTGCTGCGCTAAGCATAACGACACTCTACCGCTCGTCAAGGAAGAACTCAAAACGAGCTTACAATGCTGGATATGCTGCCGCATGCCAGGATCTCCTCACGATGATACAGCAGGGTGTCTCGCTTAACCCCTCCACATCAGATGGTGGCATGACAATCGGCCGCGTTATGGACTGGACAGAAGCCCGACTAGAGGCTATAAAGGCGCGAGAGGAAGAGGAAGATGAAGAAGAGGAGCGCGAGAAAGAACGGGAGGGAGGAAGGGCCAAGGCGTCTGTGACAGTCACTGTACCGAAGGTTGTGAAAGCGCCGAGCACAGGACATCGACCGGCAACAACTACATCTACAGTGAACCCCGTATGTTTCCATCCTTACAGAGCTTCCACGATCATTTAAAATCAAACAGCCCACGTCACTACCGACGCCCAACTCTCCCCATTCACAACCTCACGGACAACTACCCTCAGAGCCCTCCTCGCCTTCGCCACCACCAACGACCTCTTTGAGAGCCATTCAACGAGCAGTACGACCGCGGGCCTCTGGGAGGGGCGATATCACAAGCCCCGTGGCCACCACTCTCGAATTCGTGAACGATAACCTATCTGCGTCCGATATACCGATCCCCATCGCGGCAGGAGCTAAAAGGCGGCATGCAATGATGATGATGCTCGACTCGTCGACACCACCTGCTACTATTGGTAGCTCTTCGGCCCCCCACTCACCCTCTGCGGGGCCCATCAATGTCACTGCCGGTGGCAATCACAGTTCTGCATCTCTTTCGAGCAGACGACGCACGCGGAGTTCTCGCAACCCCACGCACCAGCAAGCGCAGAGCCAGAATCTCGCTCTCATGCAAACTTCCGATGCGATGGATGTGGAAGAAGACGGCCGGGAACGAAAGCGCGTCGCGAGGCGATAGTCAGGTATCCGCTCCTACGTTTCCTGTACACACTCGAACCGCGTAGAACACGATATACAGGTCAGAAGGAAAGCGCGTCGCACTGCAATCAGGAGCTGCTTGGTCGCTCATTTTCACGGAACATCATTCCACGATCTCTACATACCTTCAGAACCACTCATATAACCTTTCCTTGTATCCTGCATTCGACATCATATCTTTTCCCGCACACGTATTAGTATTATCCGTAGCATTCATATTTCCCTCGTCTGCCCCTCACTCAGCTCACGACCAACTTTTCCTCCACTTCACCCCCTGAAACCGTGCGTACCTGCCACGCCTTGACATGATCACGATAGTCTTGTTATCCAGTAGATGTCGCCCACGGTGGCGAATGTATCCTTATTCTTTTCATATGGGTTTTGCCCGCGATCAACCCAGCTTGAAGATAAATCACTGTCATTAGTCCACCGATCGGTTAATTCAGGCTCTCGAACCTCGAGTCCTCGACTCTCGAGTGGTAGCTTTGAGTGCTAAAAACGGTGGCAGTAGTGAATGGCCGTCGCATCATGCTCGATATGACAACCAGCACAGCTTCATCTTCATGTGGTATATTTAACCGAGCTTGCGGGGCCAAACATGCAATTTCAAATGGATGCATTTCGAACGCCTGCCAGTGAGTACTGTTGCTGCGTGATTAGGGGAGGAGTGCTAAAAAGTCAGACGCTTCAGCACCTTACTGGCTCATGACGATGCCATCAAACCAGAATACAATCCACCGGCCTTCGTTCAGCTTTCCGTATACGTAACTAGGGTTTTGTAGCAATCCAGCCTTGTCGATTGCTATGATCTCGGTGGCATCTTTCAATTGAATCTGTTCGTATCGCTACAGTAACGGGGCGGCCGCCCAAAGGCTAGTATAAAAACAACCACTATTCGATGTTATCTCCTCATCCCCTCAGCCGGTCTGAGCATCACCCCAAGCAACTCTATTCATCCTCCAGCAGGTCTGACCCCTTCACAACACAAAAACTCGTCATCTTCCATCATGAAATATTCTCAGGCTCTCCTCGTCGCTTTTCTCGGTGCTGCTACCCTCATTGCCGCTGTCCCCCTAAGCGATGCAGCTGAAGTCGAAATCTACCGTCGTGCTGCGACTAAAACATCCCTCTCCACCTCCACCTCTGTTCCCGCGAAGAAGTCTCAATCGCATAAGAACAAGAAGGGCTCCAACCACCGGCTGAGGCAGCAGTGCAAGAAGAAGAACAAGAGCAAGAAGCTCGCGCAAAAGTGCGCCAAGCTCTCTGCCCGGCCCACCAAAGCCGCTGTTTCCGGTAGCCCGCCACTGAGCACTAGCACCAACGTCCCTAATGGTGCTGGTGCTGGTCCCGCTGGAAATGCCACAACCACTGCCACTGACAACGTGCCCATCGTGACTTCTGTTCCTGTCAACGGCACGGCGACTCAGGGGGGCGCTCCCAGCATGACCATAGCGACCGTGCCCAACGACGCGAGCGTCACTTCTACCGCCATCACTGCCCGCGACCTCGACGACGAGCTCTACGCGCGTGAGCTCGACGCATTCATCCACGCCCGCCGCGGCACACCTACCGACGCGCGCAAAAAGGCCCCGCAGCAAAAGGGGAAGCCGAGAGTGAACGTAGGCGGTGCGGCTGCCCCTGTGGTCACCTCCACCGCCCTCGACCTCAGAATTGACACATCCACTGACACCGCTGATGACAACTCTGTGTCTACGCGTGACCTCGACGATGACCTCTCCGCGCGGGAGTTGGATGACTTCATCTATGCCCGCAGCATCTTCGACGACGCACGTGGTGCATGGGGTGCGCTCAAGAACACATTTTCTGGTGCGAAGCCTGCTGTGAAAAGCCGGGATGTCTTGGAGGAAATCGATGCACGCGACTTTTTCGACATTGACGAGCTTGACTAGGAGTTTGTGAGTTCTTTTAGCTCTATGCTTGTCCTAATCCACGGTGTATTCTGATAGGATTTATCTTTGCAGATCCACTATGTAGCCGCAGAGCAGCTACGCAGAGGAGTACCTTGGGTCTGATACTAATTTGGGGTAGTTAGATTAGATCCTTCATGTGACGAAGATGAATACGAGATCGGGTTGCTGGTTGACCCTTCTGAAGCTTGATGCATCCATGAGTCTACTATCTTTATGAATTTCGCCACCTTCAACTCATAGAGAGTAATACAAAAAACATTCAAATCGACGAATCGAAGAGCGATTGAGAAACTTGACAAAAAAAATGATCTCTGACGACAGTGAGATTCGAACTCACGCCCCGAAAGACTAGATAGGAGTTATCCTGATTCTAGCGCCTTAGACCGCTCGGCCATGTCGCCTTGAGCTATGTCGGAAGAGTCGTCATCATTGCGGTGCCAGTAAGGAAAGAGACTAGCCGGAAAAGATCATAATCGATGCCGCACGTAACATAGATCGGTGGTGATAGAACTTAATGTGAGATTGCACTCCGGAGAGTGACTTGCATTACCGAGTGTCTAGGAAGTGTTGCGGCGCGCAAGGTGCCTCGGCCGAGACGGTGAACAATGGAAGAGGTCATCGAGGTCCATTTTAATTTTTGTAATACAACAGCACGAGCCTTGATACGCAATGGTCACTTTTCATCTGAATTTGCATCAATGCATGCGGCACCATGTAACTTGAACTTTTCCAATTGTCTCGGAGTATAAGGACAAGACGAATACTGCTGCCTATGTTGTTCTGACGCAAAAAAAAAACCTGATGCTGTGGCGTGAATCCTTCAGAAATCTTAGTAGTACATGTGGTCTCAAATAAGCTGCTAGTCCTGTTCCTGGGTGCTCTACTATGGCTTCAAAGCTCTAGGCTGCAAAAAGCAGTGATGAGAGTGGGATTCGAACCCACGCCCCGGAGGACCAGATATATTGGACGACGATCGCCCTGGTCCTTAGTCTGGCGCCTTAGACCGCTCGGCCATCTCACCATGGCGATGTATAAAGAGTGGGGCCCTCCGAGCGCGCACAAATTCGGCCCCATAGGACAAAATGATTCAGCTATCTTAGCATATGGTCGTTGCTGACCAGCGGCGGCTACGAAATTTAGAGCAAGACCGAAGGGCAAAGTTGCCTATTGTGAAGCACCCTATTGTATTGGTGAGCGGTTCCAAGTCGAAGATGAACAAGGAAATGAAGAAAAATTGTATCGTCACCGCGAAGTCGTCGTCTATACCTGTCCTGTGAATTCGAAGATCCCCTTTCCTGCGGATGACAAGTAGGAGTCAATCGTGGTTAAACCCAAAGTTAAAACAGTCGAGCATCAAAAGCTTTTCCCAAGAAAGATATTGATGAGAGTGGGATTCGAACCCACGCCCCGGAGGACCAGATATACTGGACGACGATCGTCCTGATCCTTAGTCTGGCGCCTTAGACCGCTCGGCCATCTCACCATGGACACCCGAATGTAGGCGCCATCGACGGGCGAACAGCATATTAAATCGGTGGGGGCCTTGGGTGAGTATCCGAAATCAGGGTTTGTTCAGCCTGGGTCGTACGGCCAGTTATTTTGGGGCTGAGTAAGGCATTATTATCGAATCGAGGGAAGGTGACTGACTAAGGTCGTTGCCATAGCTGCGAATACATTGAGATGGGTGGCGGAGGTTTGTAGTATATTTTCTTCAATACAACTGGATTAGTTCTCTGTCCGGATCCCCGTTCAATCTGAAGAGCACGTCGGCCTGACGTGGACGTACCATCGAGTCTATCCGGTCATAGGGCCCCACAAGATGACGTGGCTCACAGAAACACCTACCAGGAAAGATACAAACGCTTCCAGAGCGGAAATGAAATAGATATTCAAACAACGCAGTGTAGGCGTCGAAATAAGTGCATCGATCGCCGGCTAACGTGAGTCGCCCGTCCAACTTGACGTGAGCACACTAGAGGTCCTTGATTGATAATGAGGGCGCAAAAGGGTTTGTGAATTCATTCTTCCACAGATGGTGCTCGTTGTAGTACAATGAATGCTAATCCGACTGGAATACTGTGACCTGTCGATGTCATGAGCATTGTTTTTTCAAAAAACATCGATTGATTGGACTCACGACCATCAAGGTACGGCACCCATACTTGTCTAAATCTATGCAGGGCTCCTTGATACAGATTTCCTTCGTATCCAACGTTGCCTATATAATGGAAGCTAGAGTTGGACGAGCAGTACAATTTGATTCCGCGCCAGGTGCCCAGAATCCAGATCAATCTTGGCGACGACATTCCCACGACTGCTTAAACGATAACTGCACGATATCCGCTCATTTACGTCTTTCTTTCCACCATTTGCACCACTATAGTGCCTGTTACCTTGAATTCTGCAAAGGCGAGCTCTTAAAGTCGTTTCTATTTCTTGGATAACATACGTCGAAACCATCTCGAATCGGCCATGGCTCCTAGTTCATCGGCGTCGCCCAGCGCCGCCACATCCAGCTCGCGCGTTTTGTCGCGTCTGAATCCTACGCCTTCGCTTGCCTCGTCTGCACCTTCCACGCCTAGTTTTGTAGCGGGTCCCTTACCATCTCCAGTCTCACCGCCGTTGGTAGTCCCCATGCGCTCACGCGGCTACTCCACCTCCACGATACGACCCCCGCCAAGCTCGCCTTTTTCCTCAGAGCTCAACCGAGTTACTTCCGAGCCCAACGTCTCACTCGGAGGAGATCTAGAAATTCCGCTGCAAGGCAATCATTCACTCGTCCACAAGCCCCAGCCGAGCCCTAGCACATTCAGCGTGTTTGGCATAACGATCGGAACTCGCTCTTCTCGGCGGAGGTCTGATAGCATGGAGGGACAGGCTCTAAAGTCTTGCGCGATGGTGCAAATGGGAACATCGAACGCGCCCCAATCATCCCCTAGTAGTTGGTGGGGTGGTACCCCGCGCGCACCTGACCAGGACCAGGAGAAGGATGTCGTCGACGAAGTACCGCGCCGCCCTTGGCGCGACCCGCCGCGCAGGAAACGCACTATCCCTCAGGAACAGACGGAGGGGTGGATTCATACGCGTGAGGTGTGGGAACTCATCTGTTACATTATTCCTTGGTCGCTAATTCATAATTTCCAGAGGGTCACTGAGGCGCTTAAATCGGTGCTAGGTACGACGGCTGAGGTGGCGCATGAAGTTCTGTTGACAAGTGTGGACATACTCGAACTCGCTCCAGTTCCCGGCCTCGCGACCGCCGCCCGTGTTCTTCAGAATATCTGGGACGCTGTCCAACTCGTCGAGGTACATCGTTTCTAAATCATCCATTTATTAAATAACGCTAAACTTCCAAAAGACGAACCGCCTGGCTTGTCTCCGCCTTACTGAGCGATGTGCAGACCTCCTCTATTCGGTGCGCAAGGAAATCGAAGATGCCGGACCAAGTGTCGTAGCTGAGCTCTCTGAACCTATTGGGAAACTCGCCGCGTGCGTCTTTTTTTCTTCATACTGAGTAAAAATTCAAACTCACACCTCCAAAAATATCCAGCTCTTTCGCAGAAGTGCTTTCCTTCTTCCAAAAACAGATCCACCGACCATTCCTCAAGCGGTATCTCCAGCGCGACGAGATCCTGGAGCAAATTCGCTCATGCGACGAGAGCCTTCGTACCGCGATGAGCGCGTTCGGTCAGAGCGTTCAGATACGCCTCATACACGCAGTACATGAGAGCGAACGCCGGCGCTCGGCTGACACGCAGATGCTCATGGAAGAAATCGCGCGCATGTCACCTGCTATAAACGGGGGCTCCAGGATCGCCGAGCACCCTACGTCTTCTCCTGTCCCCCCTCCAATGGAAGAAGACCCTACCATCACACCTGCGACACCGCACCTCCCTGTTCCTCCATCGCCGTTGCTCACAATACCCCCACAGTCACCGTCACATTTGCGGCCCTCGCAGATCCTCCCGGCGCTCCAAAATTTACACGCGAGCCAGGACTCCCGAGATGCGGCGCGGGACTGTGCGGACTTGCATGGTATTATGCAAAGTGCGATTAAGGCGGATAGCGATGCGGAGATTATTGCGGTACTGCAGGTTAAGAGGGAGGAGATAGCCGAGGCGCATAAGACACTCCAGAGGGTGCGGGAGCAACTGAACCAGGCACAGGCGGTCCATGCTGGGACTCTTGAGCGCCCAGGTTATTCAATCGTAGCTCAGGGTAAAGGGAAGAAGGAAAAGGAGAGGAAGCGGCGAGGGAAGAGTATGGCTGGACTGGTGGGGGACGGGGGAGATACGGAGAGCGTGCCCTGGATAGACCAGACACTTGACCGGGAGTTTGTCGAGTCTGGAATCGACGCGCTGCGGCGCATGTCCGTCGGCAACGGGATACCGACAACGCTGCCCTCTTGGACTATCACCCGTTACGAAGTGTCGCGCGAGGAGAAGATCGGGCTTGGATTCTTCTCCGATGTCTACCGAGGGACATGGCGTGGGCGGACGGTGGCAATCAAGGTACTAGCACCCACCACGCCGTGCGCGCTGTTCGTGCGCGAGGTAGCGATCTGGCAGGCGCTGCGCCACCAGAATGTTCTGGAGCTGTATGGCGCGAGTAGTGCGAGCGGAGAGCGCCCCTGGTTCTTTGTATGCGCTTATATGAAGCGGGGAAGCCTGGTAGAGTTTTTAAAGGGGGTAGCGAGGACAAGATCGGAAAGTATGGGCACGCTGGCGGTGCCGATGCTGAGCAATGGTCATACAGGGAGGGGTAGAGCCACGTCGTTCCCCTCCTGGGGTGGGGTGAACGGTAAAGAAGCATCAAATCATCTTCGTGAAGTGGAAAAAACCCCACGCGAGGGAGACCTCTTCCGATTTATGTTGGAGATTGCACGAGGGATGGATTACTTGCACAGCAATGACGTTCTGCACGGTGATCTTAAGGTATGCTTCCAAATTTCGGGGGGTCCTTCTAAGTTTTTCTGATTCTTCTGCACAGGGGGCAAACATCCTTGTTGATGACGATCTTCACTGTGTGATTTCAGACTTTGGGCAGAGCGAGATGAAGTCAGAAGCATACCGCATCAGTGGGACCGCACCACTTCGTAGGTTTCTCCCTCTCGTGCTCGTAATTTATCTCATATCTATTCTATAGATGGAACGTTGCGCTGGCAAGCTCCTGAGTTGATGTCGGGTATGACACAACTCGCGTTAACGCCACAAATGGATGTATACGCGTACGCGATCACGTGTGTCGAGATCATTGCGTGGGGAAAGATGCCTTGGCCCTTCCAAGACGATGATGCCGTCCGCCATTTCGTACTGAGTGAGACTATTCATCCGTCAATATTCGAATGCGTTTTCTCACCGTTATGTCTTAAGGGGAGAACACGCGGCCTGCACTGCCGCAGACGCGTTTCAACACCCCAGCGCTCCAGGAGCTCCTTCGCATGTGCTGGCACCAGTGCCCTGATGTGCGACCGTCGTTCAATCGGATAGTGGATGATGTTAAAGAGATACGCAAGGATTTCCTAAGGAACGGTGGTAATGATGAGATGGCGCTTATGTCACCAGTCGGGATCGAGCGCGAACTCGAAAGGCAATGGGGTTGGGATTGGGATTGGGATAGGGCTGCGAAGGCATCTCCTGATATGCGCCCATTGTCTCTCCAAAGTACACCATCTATTTCTATACGTGAGTTTCATTTTATGATCGTCTTCGTCAAGACCACTCATACATACATTTTTCAGCAGGAGATGATACGGATATGGTCGCCCTTTCTCCCAACTCGACGGCCACCGATATGTCGTTCCTCACCGCACCTGAATCTCTCTTCAGTTCTACTTCTACGAAAAGATCAAGTAAGACGTACTCTCCCGCGCCTCTCGACCTCCATTTCGAGTTTGAACTCGAGGATGATCCCGCGCCGCATATCGAGAGCACCGTGGCGTCGGCAGAAATGCGTATGCCAGAACCTGTCCTCTACCAGCCCTCCACTCGTACATCGTCCCTCTTCTCAGAATCAACCTCA